CAGCCTGGTCCAGCAGAAAGCACAATTAACTTCCAGCAGTGGAAGGCAACACAAATAGTTATGCCACATTTCTTCCCCACAATAGAAGGGGCAAATCTCACTCTACCTGAGATGGTGAAGACAGAGGAGTCTTGTATGTACACGTTGCTATTCAAGATCACCTACCAAGTGTTTTGTACTCCTTCCTTTTTCATATTTGCTTATATTAGAGCAAGAGAGACATCTAGAGATGACAGGCAGAGGATTACAAGCTTCTGGAAAAAGTTTTCTGTCAAATGAGTAGCATGTTGTGTTTGCAGAATGGGAACAATAAATCAAATCAATGAAATATGAAATAAAATCAATCCCATGCTATAAATTATAAAGGTCCAAGGAGGAATAGCAATGGATTCCAGAGTAGCAGGAACGCTCTCCATTTCCATGGTCCTCAAACAACACTACTGTGAAAAAAGAATCTTCTTGCTACTCAGAAAGTTTGGGGTGGGTTACATACCCTACACCCTGTCCAAAGGTAGACAATACTACAAGAACACATACACAATGATTAAGTGCAGCACCATCAGATGAAACCCTCAATAAAATGGAACTAAGCTAAACTTGGAACTTGAATCCTGCTCTTTTAATTCTAAAACAAAGCCCCATGTCTAACCCACCAGCACAAATGTACTGACAGCATAACTATTCTCAACTCCATCAAAAGACTGGTGAGATGAGGTGTCCTGAGGATCAGCAAAATTACAGCCCAGAAGTGCATGAATAAAATGGCAGCACTTGAGCAGAGAAAGCATCAGTGGCATGAGTGAGAACAGAGGCCACCACCTTCTGAAACCCCTTGACTCCACTAGAAGAGTTCTTCAGACTAAACTGTGGTTACATCCATCCAGATATTTACTGAGTGATGGATATTTACATCAATTGGCAGCAAGACACTGAACAATGCATAGTCTTATGCCTAAAGCAGCTAAATAGCATTAGGCAAAAGGATGAGGAGCAGGTGCATTTCCAGTGAAATCGCTGTCACTCCTGAGGCTTCTTACCCTGTTGCCATATTTTGAAAACCCATACTTATTCTCACCTCCCATTTTATCTTAAACCAGACTCAAGGGCACCAAAGACAGAAAAAACTCCCATTGTGGACTGGAGCACAGAAGTCAGGATATCCACCCTGCAGAAGGAGCAGGGAAACAAACCAAACCCTTTCGGGCTCCTCTCACACGGGTCACCCTCACTCTCCAGCGATTCCAGGTGGGATGCTGCCATCTGCTGCCATCTGCCCACCGCAACAGGAGAGAGGTATTTGAGTGCATGGCACGAGGTTTGAACATGCTTTATCCTGCTCTTACACAATGGCATAAGGAGCAGTGGCATCCAAAAAATACTGATCACGTACCTGGCAGCAGAAGTGGGACCAGGCTGTACTCTGCAGGGAGGTCACCACTTCTCTCCCAGCTACTTCCAACTGACTAATTTTCACAACTCAAATTAAGTTCTGACACCATTATACCATCTGTGACTAGGACTGCTGATGTTTACCTGCTTGTGACCAGCTGAGCAGGTAAGAAGGGACTACAGGGAGTGCAGCAGCAGCATCCACTATCCACACCATAACGAGTGGCTGCTCCACAGCACAACAGCCAAGCACGGACAGAGGTTTGGGGTGCAGAGTCTGGATGGGACACCATCAGTTCCAGACTCCAGTGCTGGACCACAGGGGATCCAGGGCAAGGGGCACAGCTTGATAACTCAAGGGTTTCCTCAGAGGTCATCCACCTTCCCAGTTACCCCTACATGAAGATCTGCTGCCTCAGAACCAGGGAGGACTCCTCTGTCACTAACTCTGCTCCACAGGCATCATACACCTTCTGTAACTAACACCTGGCCTTGATTACCTCTTGTAACTCACACTGCGCTTTCAGCTTCGTGCCACTTTCCCTCCTCTCACCTCTATTAATCCTTTTCTTACCAAAAATGCTAACTTTTACCTACAAACTGCCTGCCCAAGGCATATATATGCCCTCAGCTTACCGAGCACCACTGAGGTTTTTAAAAAAAATAGCACTTGCAGATTTTAAACACGTCTGAGAGTAAGAATTTCTGTAAACTCATTTAAAAGCTGCTGTGTTGCAGGGTATGTCACAATCCCATGTGACAACTCCTGACCTCACCTTACCAAGTCCTTGGATCTCAGCCAGCAGTCAAGGAGTAAAGGAGGTGCAAGCTCAGAGATCATCCCATGAACTCGGATCAGCTGCATCAGCTTCCACATGTGGTAAACCTGTGTGCAGTTAGATGTGTAGATAAACCATGGAAAAGGTGCACCTGCATCCTTCCTTCCAAGTCATCCTTGTTACATCAGAGCTCCAATTTGATAATTCTACAAACATTGTTGTGCTGGCTTGTGAAATAAATTAACAGTCCATTCCCAACTGGTCTGTCAGCTGAGAACATCAGAAATTCTGTTACGTCAGGAGCTTCTGTGGCAGTAAAGGACACACACAGCTAAGCTGGGTCAGAAAAACTAATGTGTCTGTCCTATGTAAGACACAAATGCAAACTAGAAGGGAACTTGCCATAGTAAATGCATATAAAGGAAGCCTTAATGTGACCCTGACCTTCTTCCATCAGCTACGTATTCTACCCTAGACGTGATAAAAATCAAGATTTTATTAAAAGGAAAAGTGGAAACTTGGTATGATCCTCAGGGTTACTCTGAGCAAAAGTACAAAATCTGAGGTGTGTGTCAGTGCCTAGTACTGCAGAATGGTTGCCATTAAGGATAGTAAAAAAACCAAGTTTTATTTGACAACAAAAAAGGGGTTAAAACAGACTGCTTTGAGTTTGTAACTGCTCTTTCTAATTCAGTGGACAGATATTTATCTTCAGCTAAGCAGATTTGTTTCAAAACAAACTTAGAACCACATTGATCCTATTTGAATGTTTTGATGCCATCTCCAGTCCATACTTTGTGATCTTAACCATCACAGGACTGAGACAAAGCAGGTAAACCAGCCTTCTATATTGCTCCCCTGCTCTTCTCAGCCAAGCTCATGTCCAGATGCTGGTGCACACCACAGCATTTCCTTGTAAGCACTTTCAGAGCTCTGTTGGCAACTTCATGCTCCTCAGAGAAGTGCCACATCAAGTGAGACTGCACTGCCTGTCCAGAGTAAGACCTGTTTGCTTAGCATTTATCACATTCTCCTTAACTCCATAAAAAGTACCAGACTGAACCCAGGCAGGTTACATAGTTCAGACCAAAGAGTCACTTCCACCCCAAGGCTGTGGGAAAAGCTTTTTGATGAAGAACCACAAATTGCAGCAGGTGTTTTAGTGAGATCAAACAGGCTTGCTACATTTCAATAGTCTCCTTCCTGGTTTAAGACTCCAAAGCAAAGTAAGGGAAAAGTTTTCCAGCTGTTGTTGGAGGACTATGCACTCAGCCCAGCTTGCTTCCCATCCTTTATCAACTGGAGTTGTCACCTGCTCCACATACTGCCTTGAAATACATTTGCTGGTATCTTTGTAAGAAGTACATTACGCATCAGATGCCTGAAACAAACAGAGATGCCAGGGCTTGGACTGGAGGCCCAAGCCAGAGCTGACTTACAGATGAATCCTGTACTCCTTGTAAAAAGCACTTCCTTGTGTTAACTACACTACTTACTGTAGAACATAGATGCACATGACCTTTGCATAGGCTCTATATCTGTCCTAGGCCACAGTGCCTTCTGCAAAGTATCTTATAGATAACCTTAGTACAGGCTCTATACTTGATTGTGAAGTGTTTCCAATGTCATGCCCTGTCTACAATATATCTTAGGAAACTCCACCTCTGGCCAAGCTCCAGGCTCTGCTGGTCAGAGGGGAGGATCACCAGGTGTTATCCACACAAACTACGAAGAAACTGCATTATTTTTAGCTTGCTAATTTGGCCTATCAAAGCTGGACCCTCCTGCAGCGACTTTGGACACCTCAGCTGAGTGGACACACTGTGTAGGACTTCCCAATTGCTGGGAAAGGCTCTCCAAACCCTCACTGCAACCAGGGGCTGCCCAGAAACTGTGGGTCTGGGGGATGATAAAGGATTAGGGCAATTGGTGATGCATCTTTCTTAATCACTGTTCTTTCCTGTAAGTAGTAATGATTAAGTCATTACCTTTCTTATTCTTAGTTGTGCTGTTTGCATTAGAGCCTCTACATAAATATATTATTCATTTTTCTATTATCTTAAAACACCAATAGCAAAATAAGCCTATTCTTTCCATTGGTGTCTGTTATTTCTGTTGTCTTCAATTGGCAGAACACAAACACCAACAACTCATTCAACAGTATTCCCTCCCCCTAAGTTCACAGAGCCTTATTTCCTCACCCTGGAAACAAAGAAATCCCAGTTACATCTTCACATCAACATGCAAAGCATCCTCACAGCAACTACTCTACTCAAAACTCTGGTGTCTCAAAGGACTTTCAGAGCAAAAACTTAAAAGAAAATAAAGGTTATTCACCTCTCTACATGAGTTACTCCTTATGGATGGACGTGAAACAAGTTTGTGATCCAAAACCAAACTTCAACCATCTTAAGTTATTCCAGAATCCCGCATCCCATGACTTTTTTAACCAAAACAAGGAAATACCTTCTGGCATCTCCTCTTATTGAGCCAAAATGTAAAGCTCCAGAGTCACACACAGGTAATTGTGGAGCACACATACTGAACACGCAGGAGGTGACACCATACAGGAGAGCTGTGTGTGCAGGTTGGCATCAGAGATTGCTCCACTGAGGCTCTCCTGTTCAGCAACCCCAAACTGTCATTCCAGTGACACCTGTTAACAGTACATTGTACCATTAACAGAAATAAAACTGTGACCAGGGATAGTGTAGAACCCAAACATCATTTGGAGTGGAGCTGGAACTTGAGCACTCCTGCAGCGCTGTCTGTTACAAGCACTCTCACGGGCAGTGTTTGAAGCCATTAAAATATCGACTGGAAACACCAGAGTCCATTTGAACAATTTATTAGTATCCTCTTTTTTTACAAGTTTTAGAAAAAGAATCCCAGGATTTTGCCTCCTGTGTGTTTTCGCCTCGCCTCCTCGTGGTCCATGATGCCAGCTGAGGTTGTCAGTACAATGTACCTGTCAACAAAGAGCAAATGTTCAGTTTGTTGCTCTGTTCCACATTAGTGCAGAGCTGACAGCACCCACTTCACCTCTGTGTGACTACAGCATGACCTGTTTCTGCTGGAACAGGCCTAATGCAGTGCAATTGGGTAATCAGACAGTGAAAAGCAGCTCCTCTCAGAAGCACAGCCCTGCAGCACACACAGGGCACAGACAGATTTCTGCTCTCCCAACACTGTCTGTCTCCTTGCACATTCCCACTGTGCAGTGCATTCAGCTGCTGCAGCCACAGCAGCTCTGTGGTTTCTCGACAAACTCCACTTATACCTTACACAGAAGCTGTTCTCCAGCACAGGCAGAGCTGCCATGGTGCTAGACAGCTCAGCTTCTCAGTCCTGACCTGCTGATGCAGGTGAGGGGCTGCATCTGGACTGACACCTGCAGCAACTTTAGTCACTGCTAATGCCAACATCTGGACTAGCAGCACACCTCATCCACACTGCTGCATGTCTGAAAACTTCTTGTCCCACCACTCTAAAAATACTCCTTAGAATCCCAGGCACAGCACACACAGTAGCTCTATAGGTACAGCTGAGGCAAGAGCTTCTTGCTAGAGCTTTGTAAATGGAAATTACAGAGCTGCTAATCCTGCCTTTGACAGGACAGACTGCCTGAGGTCCTGGAGACTCTTACAGCTCTGCCATCCTGGTGCACTGGATTTACTGCTCCTGACTCTGTGCATTTTGGGAAGGAAAAATACACTGCATGACAGTAAGATCATCTGTGTTAAGCAGGTTTGTTTAACAGACACTGTGTCTCTGATCAAGGATCAGCTTATAAGCAATCAGGACATTTGCATTCCAATAGTACAACCTCCTTCCAGTACCTGTAACTTACATGACTCCTCCCCCATTTATAAATGGCCACTAACAAAAATAAATAAGCAAGAGAAAAGTCCTATCTTCCAGTAAGCTCTAGAAATGGTGACACAAGGATTTAGTGAAGCCAAGCAGAAACAGGTCTTTGCTTAGCAGTGCCCCTTTAGAACTGGTTAAAAAGGGCATTTTATGGAAGATGGGTTTTCAGACTGGTATATACCTCCAGACTGATCAGAGGAACGGTGTCAGGTGAGTCTAACTCAGGCAGTTTGCAGGGGTAACCACCCCCCACATCTGACTCTCCCTCACACTTACCCAAACTGACGTGAAGGCAGCAGGTTGTTCTGCCACTTTTCCAAGTCCTTCAGCTGAACATCAAATCTGGGACTGATTACACCACACTGCAAAACAGAATTCCATGACAGACTGAAGAACTTTACAAACTGGATTTGCACATCTATCAACCCAACTCACTGGCTGAAGGACTTTAACCACTGCAGTTACACACACTACAGAGTGAGAAGCAACACCTGCACCCAGCTGAGAGTCTCACACACAGCAACTATTCAGCAGTTACTGCCTTAGCCTCATCCCCGCCTCCTCCTAACTGGACTGACACTGCTGCTGAAGCTGAACTAACCAAGTAATGCCTAGACCTGGAAGAGAATAAAAGCACACTAAAATATCAGCAAAAATCCTGTGATTACTCAGGGATATTCCAGCTCTAACCACCATACACAGCAAAAAAAAATAGATGTAGATTTTAATCTGGGGAAACTAACAAGCATGAAAGTTACCAAAATTTTCAAGTTAATCCTATTACTGGTTCTGACCAGCACTACCCACCTCCAGTTACCTCACTGGCTCTAATTATCTTAAGTATCCAACACCAAACCAGAAGAACACCTTCCTGCATGGATGGACACTGTTCTCCAAACAACTGTTCCTTTACTGCAATTATTGAGAGAAAATTACATCCAGCTGCACCCCAGAAGATCCACTATGCAATCATCCTTCAAGAGTTCAAGAACACCACAGTCACACCTGGCATATACTACTTTTGTTACAGACACGTAACACTAGTAATTTGGGGGTGTCAGAATTCTCTGCCTTGTACACTCAAGCAACTTCCAGCTGCAGTATTTATTCACTGTGGAGACAGCTCCCAATATATTTTGACCAAGTAGGTTTTGTATTTCTTTACTAAAGAGCCACTTCTCACTTGAACAGCTTAACTGGAAACAAGGATACACAGCAAGTTATTACATGACAGACAGCTCAGTATCTTGAGACAAAAGTATTTTAAACATTTCCAAAACACATGAATGCCTCATGTGCCCCAGGAACTTAAAAAGCACCAATTCCTTTAACATCGATCTTTCCCTCAGCTGCCACAAGAGCCCACCTGGCAGCAGGAGAAAGGCTTCTCCTCCCAACATCTACAGGTATCAAACATCAACTGGAGAGCCAACTCAGCTCCTGTCTCTTAAGATAAAACTTCCACGTAACTTAAACATCAAAGAAACTGAGAAACCACTAAGCAGCCAGAAAGCCTTTGAAGAGAGAAAAATACACAGCACTTGCAAGCAACTTCCCTGGAATGTGTCTGACATATTCAGAGTTTCAAAGAGATGTAATTAGTGACCTACACCACTGTGAATCTGGACAAATTAACCAGTGATAAACAGTGATAATACCCATGTTACTCCCACGTACAATGACTCAACCAATACAACCTTCTTCACAATTATTTCAGAAATGAAGGAAAAAAGTCTCATGTAAATCCCTCCCTAGAGAAACAACTTCAGGAAGACAAATCCTACCTTGTTGAGTCTGCCTGTGAGGTTCACAACGATCTTCCCAGCTCTGTGGTCATCAATTATCTCAAATTCACCAATGTAACCTGCAGAGACCAAAAATATCAAACATGCAACACTTAGCTGCGATGACACTGGTTCAAGCACCTTGATTTAACTGAAGCAGAGCCCAGAGGGCTGAGCAGGGTCAGGCTGAGCCCTGGGACTCACCGTGCTTCATCATGACGGTGAGGAAGCGCACGATGACCTTGGAGCACGGCCGGATCAGGACTTGGCGTTTGCCTCGCTTCTCTGCATTGTTGATGCTCTTCAGAGCATCAGCCAGAACATTCATGCGCACCATGGTGCCTGAAGGGACAGGAGACAGTTATAGGCAGCAGGACCCAGCACAGACACACTGAGCAACTTCTTTTAGGGTCAGTTTTAGACCTAAAACTTTCACAACTGGCAGAAAGTTGCATTAAACCAGAGAAACATTCTCAGGCTAAATAAGAGAATCAGATCACACACTCAGCTATGGTCAAGGGCAGTCATAACTGCCACCACAGGTCATAGAATCATAGAATTTTAAGGGCGGGAATGAACCTTACAGACTATCTAGCCACAGCTCCCTGCCCTGGGCAGGGACACCTCCCACCAGAGCAGGTTGCTCAAGGCCTCATCCAGCCTGGCCTTGAACACTGCCAAGGCTGGGGCAGACACAGCCTCCCTGGGCAATCTGTGCCAGTGTCTCACCAAAGGTCAGGACATCTGACACACTCAGTCCAACTTGGCTTTATGGCCATGCCCACACGAGGGTTTCAAAACCAGCACCCAGGCACCATGTCAACAGTGACACCTTCCGTGGGTAAATCACATTGGCTTCGAGCTCAATTCTGCAGGATCAGCCTGCAGGAACAGGCTGATCCGCTGAGTGCAGGTATCCAGTCTGACAGTTGCTGCCCAGTGTGACCCGTGCAGGGCTGGAGGATGCACACACACCCCAGCGCTCTACAAAGGGAATACAACACCAGCTCCTGCACGCCGGTGGAAAGGGCAACAGCCTCGAACTGCTCCGGAGCACAGCAAGGTACCACTGGCACTGCCGCGCTGCCA